ATTTTCAAGTACGCTACAGAAATGTAATAATCAAATGTAAAATAACTGCATACTCTTCACTGTATAAATTAAATATAGATTAATCTTTTTTTTATGTAATCATTAATCATTCTGATGTCATTTGTTGATAGTCAGGAGCAGTGAGCACTTGTATTTTTCTTTGACAGCATTAGATTTATTATTAGTTTGCTTTCACTTTAAGAACGAAGCACAGATTTAATATAGGCCTACTGATACACATGCCTTTTCTTTCTCAACTGTTTACGTTAAGACATATGCCTAACCGACTGTGCTTACTACGATATTCGCCAAAACGCGCATTTTTATGTAATTTTGTCTGTATTAATTCATCCATGCACAAAAAAGCGGAAGAGAGCTCAATTTAGTATTCGCACGGTGTAGACGCGGCTGTCTGTGTGCGTGCGAGCGCTTCAGATGTGTGCGCAGAAAACTTTTCACACAGCACTCGACTGTTCCGCAAACAACCCCGAGCGTCTTTTATGCTCACCTTGTGCCTTCGGGCAGTCCTTATATTGAGTCCTGATACGTGAGTTTGAACGAGAATGCACGCGTTGGCGGTAATGCATAGACGGACCCAAAATAAAGGTGCCTATTTATACAGATATCGATATTTTACGTGTGGCATCGATGTATCGTATCGTCAGACATCGTATCGATCCATATCGATGAATCATTACACCCCTATTATTACGCAAGTCTATGGGGCAACATGCCCCAAATTGGCCCTATAGACTGCCATTGTAAGTGGATATTTGTTTGTATTCTTTGTGATAATAGAACCTGGAACATTTCTTTTAATGGTTCACCCACCATTGTAGTACTTTAGTATAGAATTCACTCAGTTGTTGAAGTTTATCTTCTTGCAAAATGAATAAAATGCTGAACGTTTGATGTAATTTACACATGTAGTGGAGAGAGAGAGACAAAAAAAGAAATGGCAAGGTAAACTTAATAGCTCAGGCAATCCATATACCTTAGTTCAGTAGTCTCCAAACTCGGTCCTGGAGGGCTGGTGTCCTGCAGAGTTTAGCTCCAACTTGCCTCAACACACCTGTCTGGAGTTTTCTAGCATGCCTATTAAGACCTTGATTAGCTGGTTCAGGTGTGTTTAATTAGGGTTGGAGCTAAACTCTGCAGGATAGCGGCCCTCGAGGACCGAGTTTGGAGACCTCTGCCTTAGGCTACATCCACACGAAGCCAGAGCTTTCCCTATCCGATCTTTTTTCCCCCTCGTCTCAAGAAATATCTGCGTACACACGAAACCCGACACAAAACGATGTAGTATACATGCCAGACCAGTATGTGGCACTGTAATTCTGCCACAGAGATACACTAAAAATGGAGAAGACTTGGACTATGTGCATAAACCTTGCGCGCGGTATACAAATGAACATGGAACAATACATTTATTAATCTGTGTTAATGTTAGTTAATAAAAAGACAATCGTTCAGTGTTTGTTCATGTTGTTGTTGCCGTTACGTGACGTAGAAGTGTCTGACTAGGGGCGAGACGTGGGATGATGACATCATTGTTTCACAAAATATACGGATTGGCTGTACACACGAAAACGCAAGGGTGTCGTTTTCAGATTTATCCACTCTGGGACCCGGTTTCAAAAAATATTGGTTTCACTCTCCCAAAACGCCGGATCCGTCTGGACGAAACACCAATCCAATACAACATTTTTGCATATACAGCTAAGCGCATCTCCGTGTGGACAGGGCCTTAGTTTACGTCCTGTATGCCAGCTCTCTAATGCTCTTATGTTCTTCTGCCACTTATTTTACCACTGAAGCTATTTTTGAGGAGCATGTAATTATAGATGAATTCTGACACTTGATTACAATGACCATGAGCAATGTCTCTAATGTGTTTAACCCTTTGACGCGTGTACGATCACACCGGTGTGATCAGTCTTGGCTGGTCCCTGAAGCGTACGATCACACCGGTGTGATTAGAACTTTCAGTGCGTCACGTCATCAACTGCTGAATTTAAATCCGCTTTCGCGCTCTGGCTGGCGCGAGCCAGATCGGACGCGCTGAGCGCTTGTCATATTATCACAAATATTCAGCTTTTTCAACCATATAATGCTTATTTTAGGTTTCAGACATTTAAATACACAAGTACTAGCAAAACCATACATTTACAGTTTGTAAAATGCACGCTGATGTTTATGGAAACGGCAACAATGATCCTTACAAATATAATCTGACGACATGTTTTTATTGATATCATATACAGATTGTGTAGGTAACTATAAAGTTTACTCTGCTCTTCTCCCAGTTTACCGAGACCTACTTTAACGTGTTTCGGTAGGAGAGGATGAATTTGCGTGTTGTAAATCCCACAGCTCGGATTCAGCGCGAACTAACATGGCGGCGCCCATCACCCGGTATAAATCAACTAACACGGTCGACATAAAAGTGTTTAAACTACCAAACAGATTTAATTGCACATATTTCAGAATCGGAATATCAGAGATTTCATAAGATAGTGAGCATGTTTGTGAATATTTCGAATAAAACCGGAAAAACTAAATAAAAGCGATGCATGTGTCATACAGAGCTATTGTGGCTGCGTTGTGTCACATCACAAGCATGACACGTCGCCATGGAAACAATAAGGCGATACATTTTAAAATAACAGTCGCCTAAAAAAAACTCACGCTGGGGGCTAGTATATTTTAAACTCACGTGCGAAAGGGTTAAATGTGAGCCAAAATCATCACAATTAAAAGAACCAAAGACTTAAACTACTTCAGTCTGTGTGCATTGAATTTATTTAATACACGAGTTTCACAATTTGAGTTGAATTACTGAAATAAA